TATTACTAGCGGTGCTTTTTGTATCTTGTTTATGAGCCACTGATTCAATAAGCAGCATGTGGAAAGCATCCACGCAGTAAACAAAGCAAAAAAGTGGGAACGAGGCCTGTTTTTTGCACGCGATTGTTCACATAAAAAGTGATAGACACCCACGTGTGATCACCATATGAAGGCATGCATGGGAATGCTTTTCAGAGGTCACAGAGATGACCACACTGATGCCTTTGCAGCATTTTTGTACCAATCAGAACACCTCCTCCAGAGCACTGATCATCATCTGACATACTTTATTCTGTAGGTATTAGAGGTGCACTCCCTATAATTTGTAATCTCTCTTCTAGCTGACTCTTTCCTCGTCTGTCACGCTCTATTTAGGCACAGCAGCAGCGTGTTCACACCTCCCCTCAGCTGCTACCCAAACACAGTGACATGACCCACATACAGCAGCAGCCAACTAACTGTGGCGAGTCACAGTGATTCCACAGGAACGTCTACGGACGAGTTTGGAGCATTTCTCTTATTGGCATCACATGGTGAATCAACCGGCTCGCTCTTTGTGTGTACTTTCTGTGTGAGTTGATGTTTAGATCTGTGCAGGGATGTCCTCATGGGTCGCCTGTGACAGCAGCTGACTCTGATTGAGTATGAGTGCTGATTGAGGGCACATGTGTCCTGCTGTGTCTGTGTTTGCCACCATGACGTCACCCACTGCTTTGCTGTCTTGACGTGTGGTTTAATGTCATCGGCATGCTGGTGTTTTTTGAGAGAGCTGGCTACTAATTTATCCGCTGAAACTAGTAAATTTCACTATAGACAGACACATACCTTCTAATTAATGTCAAACAACAGACTAGTAAAATTCTAGCAGTTCACTTGCCAAACTTCTTAGACAGGCTGAACCTCATAGCAATACAGCCTTAATAGAAATGGCCTCAGCGGAAGGGAGACTATTAAGAAGCAACACTAAAGGAAAGGAAACAGTGAGAAAAGGGTGAGGTATACAAAATTACACAAAAACTGGACTAAAAATCAGTGGTAACAGGTCTGATGGACTGATTTTTGGTTCGAATCATCCTAGGTATGTACATAAGAGGTCAGGATAGGTACAACATTGGGCGTCTACAGCCATCTGTGAAACATGGTGGAGGCTCTGTCATAGTTTTAGGTTACATTTCAGCTAGTCGTTTCAAAACTGATGAATTATGAACACAAAAAAATACACTGCCAATACACTGCCAATGGAGTAAAATCATACCTGGATAGTGCCCCACTTTGTGTTTTTCTATCAGTCATGGATCGGCCTCCCCAGAGCCCAGACCTTAACATTATTGAAGCACTGTGGAATCATGTTGACTGAGAACAGAACAAAAGGCAGAAACATCCAAAGAAGAGCTTTGAATGTCCTTCAAGAAGCCTGGAGAACAAGAAAATGACTTTAAAAGTTGCCTGAAACCCTTTACAAATATAAAATTTTTATCTCTTTTAGATGATTTACTTTGGATTTTTTTATCGTAGCTCAGCTAAAATCTGGTTTAAAACTTATATATTTGGGATTTCACATTCACCATGTTAACAGGTTTTCTCTCTGTGTGTGTACAAACACAAGGTGTATTTCTGATTCTGGACTCTGGATGAGTTAATCCCTACATAGAGTCTTAATGGTAAGTCTAGAGGAGGTGGAGCCCTACTTCTTGCCAGTCTGGACATTGAGGGTTTAACCAGCAGGACACCTGCTTTCTCAGCAATAAGGAATACATCAACAACACAGGGGAGGTCCACTCATGGGGGTGTAAAGAGGATTTCAGGGGTCGTTTGTGGGGCAGAATGGTCTTTGCATGTCTGAAAACAGTAGGCCATGAATACACAGAGAATTAGTTTTAGCTTATATGTACCTGTCAGTAAACACTGACTAGGGATGACAACAACCACAAAAAAAGTGAGTAAGTGCCCTCCATATCTACCTCTGAACATCACCAAAAATAGATGGGAGACTAGATGAGGAGATTAATCTGCATGTTATCCCTCAGGCTTGCTGTACATCCTGTCCTCAGGGTCTGGCCTGCCTGAAGAAAACACCTTTTGTCAATGAAATGGGATTTGCGAAAGTGCCATCTGGACACCGGAGCAGAAGCTCTGCCTCCACTCTGTGTCTGATCCACCAGAGATGGTCATTACGAGGTCAGGATCTAAGATCAGACTGATCTGAGGAGGTCAGGTCAGAAGCCTTTAGTTACGTATATGTTAGATCAAAGACCACTACTGATTAGATTTTAACCCAGGACTCCCCAAAGTGATGTACTCTGTCGTACTCAGGTGTTTTTTTTATACATAGGCCATAAAATTATGGGCTCCAACAGTTTAATTTGATTGAATATCACACAAGGCAGGTCGTTTTTAACTTACATAACTGAAAAAAACCTAAAAGTTGACTTTTAGACTCCCTGCAGTCAGAGGAAATTGAGTCGGCTCTGGCACAGGAGGCAGAGTGAAGCCTAGAAAAAGCTACTAAAAATATCGTGCAGGCTCAGTGAGCTGCTCCACTGTGAGATTCAAATGAGGCTTTGAAATTAAACGTCAGTCACTGCGACGTGGTTAAGCCTCGGTATTCTCGAGCTTTCTGCCACAACTCATGTCCTTCATGAACGGATGGTGTTTGCTTAGATTGTGAAGTGAACCAAATAATTAAAAAAGTTTAAATATAAGTGCTGGTAAAACTAAAATATTACAGTTCAACCAGTAAACCTCTCGTTAGGGTGACCAGAACCCAACAAACTAAACACAGTGTTTGTGTGGGACAAAGTGTGACACGTTAACAATGCTGGGAGGTAGTCAGATGTTTTATATTTAAATGCAACTTTTCTTTTCTTTCCAATCTTGATGAAGCTTTGCATAGACATTGTCTAGGGCACCGTGATTGCCAACATCTATATGGCATGTACAAATGTTTCATGCAAATCCCACAATCATATATATTTGTAAATGTGATGGTTCAAATGAGCACTAAATGGAATGCTATTGTATAGAATTGAATATCATAGTATAGACATGTGTTTTTATGTTCCATATATCCCATGCATAGCTAGTAAGGTTTGGTAGAAAGAAAAAGAAATTATTCTTACGCTAGCATGCGATAGTCTTCATATACTGTATTATCTGTTATTTCAGATGCTTTTCTGTCTAGTAACAGTTTTGGGGTTTCAGTTGGGATGTATCCATAGATTGGCTTTTTTGAGACATATCTGACTAATTTTAGCAATTTCTATCCAATTATGACACACACTTTGTAACTTTCATCGATAGGCATAATGTTCATTTCACTCTACAGTCCATCTATAGCCTTTCAGGAAAAAGGCCACAGATGGACTGTAAGGACCTGCATGTTCTGCAGAGCCCCAGTCAAAATGTGGGACATTGTCTCAAGAAGTGGGACAGGGGGACAAGGAATAAAGATGCTGTGTAGCCCCACTTAAACAGCAACATTTGGTTACACATAATTCTCAGTGATGCTCCTTTTAACCTTATGTTTTGCACTTCCTATACTTTAATGTCCTTCCATCAAACCTTTACCTTAACATATAAACAGCTCACCATTAGTAAAAGTCAACAGAGCATGCTCCTATTTTAATAAATAATACAGGTGATTTTATTGACTTTCACTGACAAGCACTGTCATAAATATTAATGACCAGTTTTACTGCACAGCTGTACACGTTAATGATTCTGGGTGTGGCTTTGGCCTGATTGAACAGGAGAAATTATGTTCGTCTTTTTCTGATTTCTTACTTCTAAAATCTCTGGCTCTGAATAAATATATCACGCACTGTGGCAGCTAATCTTTACCCGCAAAACTACACATTCATACTGTTCAAGCATTTTTAAGTCTCAACTTTCCCTGCAAAATGAAACTAACGGCTGATTTTACCCGTTTAAATATAATGCACTAAAAACGGGGCGGGACCTCCGTTGTAACACGTTTCAGTGTCAAACTCGCCATCTTCGGCTCCTCAGCCGTCGTTCTACATTTTTCCTGCTCGCTCCCGCTTTGCACGTTCTCGCAATTAGCGGGCATGTCCATGTGAATCGGGCGGATGGGCGGGCTGACCATAAGGTTCTGTTGGGGAGGCTCGGCCATATGGAACCAATGAGACACCCGTGTAATATATAAATTTTTACGTAGTAGACTCACTTGCGCATGCGCACGGAGGTTTGGCAGAGCCAGCCATTCATGTTGTAAACTGGGAAGCCATAAATATTTATAAATTACCATTTTTCTAACTAAATCTATAATACCTATAATTTTTCAGCTTCCAGAGGAGAAAAGATGTAAAGATATGATAAATTTATGACTTAAAACAAACAAAAAAAAAACATTCCCAGTTTTGTCATGTTTTTCTTTTTTTATTTGAGGTGCAACTGTCTAGTGCAATTGTAACGTCACATTTGTGATGGGCTGAGGAACATGCACAAAACATCAACATACTTCTGCTGCTGGGCATTTTCCTTTTCTTTCTTTTTTTAAGCCAGATGTCTCATTATTGTGTTCAGCGCTCCAGTTGCACTGAGCAACTCAAACACTTGGCTGTACAAAAAAAATAATAATAATAATAAAAAAAAAAATGCTAAGATTTATTTAAACAAAACAAAAAAAACTAAAACTACACACGTCTCCAAATGGTTAAAGAGTCCAGATCATTTGAGCGAGTGAGTTTGAAGCAACGGCAGATACAGTACAAGGCCGTGTGTCACCACAGGAGAGACAGCATCTTAGTGTGGAGGTAAAAGGTCCTCTTCTGTTGCCACCCTGAGTAATGACATCACAGGTAGATCAGAGAAAAACCTGGCCATACCATAGATATATATACAAAATAGTAGAACAACAACAACAACAACAAAAAAAGGCTTCTATATATGTATCTATGGTTGGAAACCAGGCACTTGGCAGAGTTGAACTGGAAAATTTTCACCTATACAAAGATCACTAGCTAGAAACAGTCATGTCCTATCGAACTGCCTTCCTGCCATTTATTTTTACAGATCACTTGGACATTTTTACATTAACAAGAGCAAAAGCAAAACAAAACAAAATTAATAGGACAGACAAAACAAGCTTCTCCCAGCCCTCCTTAAAAAAAACCCCCAAAAAAACATTGATCCCCTGCATAAATCTTTAATGCGCTGTCTGAGAAAGAACAAGGAGGGGGTGTCAAGGGTGGGCAACGTGGACCTCAAACTCAGTTCTCAAAGTGAACAATGAGAAGCAGCTGATATTTAATTCATAGATTTTATGACCATCCTCCCCTTGAAGAATGTCAAGACTGGTGATCCTCAGAGACCTGGGACTTTCCCGGATTGAGGGTGGGTTGTATGAATCCTCTGTCATCCATTAAAAGTCCGCTTGGGAAAAAAAAAAGTGCAACAGGAAAACAGGAAGATGTTGAATTAAAAAAAACAAAAAAACAAAAAAACACTGTGCGCTGATGGACAGTCAGGGTGCGGCAAGGCGGGGTAGAGGACGATGGCACATGTTTTCAGTGGGGAGGGGGTCAGACCGCAACGTATTCAACGGCACTGACAAGAGCCTGCTTCTTTGATTGGCCGGGCCCTTGGTTAACTCCTCCCGCCCTCTTTTTTTTTTTTTTTAGCGGCCCTGAAGATGGCGGCAGGGTCGATTCCTGCTAGCTCTGTCCCTTTCCCCACATTGTTGTTGTCACCATGATGATGATTACAACAACAACCAGCATGACAATGAGGATTGTCTGAAGCGGGTGGTTAAAAGTCAGAAACGAGGCAAAGACGCGCACGCAGACGCACACACACTTACACATTACACATCGGTGTGACTCCAAAGTCAGTTAAATAAAATGTGCAACAAAAGAGAGTGGTTCATCCTCCGGCTGAGCCCGAGTGTGTGCTCCTCCAAACACTGGCAGAGTCTTAATGCTAGAGTCTGTTCACAGTATGACGAGACTCCTTTCTCCTCCTCCTTCTCATCTTCTTTCTTCCATCCCCCCGGTCTCTCATCGTCAGAGGGCTCTCCAATGTCTGGGTTACGCAGATGTGCCGGAGCTCTGCGTGGAGGGGCCAGCCGGGACCGGAGGTTGGGCGGTGCCGGTCGGGGAGCCACCAGTCTGGACTTGAGCCTGGAACTGAGCCATCTGCTCGGGGCTGGCCAGGGTCTTGAGCAGATTGTTCTCCTGCTCCAGCTGAGTGTTGCGCTCGATCAGCTCTTTGATCTGCTCCTTCAACACCTCCACCTCCTCGCGCACGGCGTACATCAGGTGGCTCTTCACCAGATCCTGGAGGAAGAGGGTGGGGGATAAAGAATGAGTAAATAATACAGCGGCACTGGGCTCCTTACACAACGACGACAACAATTACAAATGTGCTTCTTTCAACTTTATATTTCCAGTCAGAAGTGAAATTATTGAATGTTTACTGGCTGGTTGTTCAACAGAAAGCTAAGCTAGCAACAATTATTGTAGTTTTTAAGCTAAATTAAAACTCAAACTGTACTATTTGAGGCTCCTTAACCCCTTTCAAAATCATGTGTTACACAGTTTGAGACGTCTACATCAGTGTGATATGGATGTGTCAGAGGTGCACGGCTCCAAAAAAACGGAATAATTTGCACAATACAGTTTGAAGCAATAGATTGTTACATCCATTTTTTTGCAAATATGACAATAAAATCCATACATTTAAATGAATATTTAATTAATGAAAATAAACTGTCAGAAGGTTCAATAAACAAATTTTCTGGCAATTATTTTTCAGGCTTTAAATGGTTAAATTTAGATTTCCCCTACAGTCAGGTTTCGCATTTTTGTTGACATTTTATAAAACATACTAAAAGAAGAAACCCATGAGTGGACTACAAAGTTTTTCCTCCGTGCACCTGCCATGAGTCTGCAGCTGTACTTCAGGTCATTACTTGCACTAAATAAAAGCGTAAGTAATGCACAAGTGTATACATTGAGACATTTAGTGGCTTGGGGTGGCTAATTTGGTGAATCGCAGCTTCACCATTTCATTTTTTCCCCCGTTCTGTAAGCAAACACATTGAACACATTTGCAGGATTTGGCATTTCCAATATGACTAAACGCTATTTTCCTCTACTTTACATCACTGTGAGGTAAATATTTATGCATGTTTTGTTCGATATTTAAGACTTTTTATAAGCAAAAGGGTTAGTCGGCAAGCTTGCACAATGCACTTGCAATGCACAATGCACAAATGTAATTTGAGTAATTTCTGCAGAATAAAAACAAGCAGACATTGGCAGGCTGCTGGGGGAAATGTGTAACACAGCAAAGGCTAAATTAGCATGAGTCTTGCAGGGGCATGCCAGCTGTCTCAGCAGCACGAGGAAAACAAGGGCGACATGAACTCATGCAGAAACAGCTTCACAGATTATTCCCATGACGACGATGACGGTGATGATGAAGGCAGAACAGAGCTGAAGGGGGATTTGGGTTTAATAATCTGAGCATCCTTGGTGGACCCTCCTTCCTCCTCCTCCCTGCCCTGATATGTAGCAACTAGGGAACAAAATGTTCCTGCACCGGAGTGGGAGGAGCCAATCAGCGGCCGAGTTATTTATACCGCGCGGAGGGGAGGCTCCTGCTTGCCTAGCAACACTTGGAAACTAGAGAGAGAAGGGGCGTATGTAGATGTA